AACAGTTTTTCTCAGTTCTGATGGCAGAATTCTCTCAGGGAAACTGCAGGCTCGGTTCATGCGGGCTCCTTCTCTTTCTTCATGCTCATTGCTATCAATGTGTCTGGTGTTATCTCACCACAGATACGTCCCAGTTATATGTCATTTTTGCTTTTAGGTTTGCATTTTCCTTGAGAATGCAGAGCAAGTAAGAATTCTTTTTATTCAATTTATAAACAACTTGCTACTTTCTAGGCTCGGGTTTTGATCCTGGGGGAGAACCCACAGGATCCTTAAAACATGGTTTCAGATTTCTAAAAGGGCAGGCAGAAATGCTGCCAGGGGGCTTGTAGGAAGGAAATGTTGGAGGGTGAGATGCCAGGGCAGATGCTGTATGGCACTGGGTGACACTGGGGACATCAGCGTGAGCCACTTGAGGTTCTTAGAGGGTACACAATCTACAATGCCATTTTGCCCTGCTAATAGTGTATGTGCACAGAGCAGGAGAACAGAATTATTTTACTTTTAGAAGAACTGCCCTTAGCTTCTAGGATAGGAAGCCAGGCTACCAAGCAACCCACCTGCTCTCTGTTATTGTCCTTCTCATATAAGAGACAACTAAAGAAAAACGGAGAAGGGGCCACAGACCAACTAGGGGGAAAACGTCAATGCATTTTCCAGTGACTCATATAGATACAACAGAAAAGATCCCCTAAACTGGAAGGGCTAATAGACATGCTAAGAGGTGGCTCAGAAATTTAGTCTGGCTGAAAATCATGTAATTGCTTTAGAAGCAATCTGAGTACATATTTTTTGAGATTGGATCTCTGAAAAGAGGAGACACCAGGTTGAATAAGTTTTGTCCTGTTCTTAGAATTTTCAAAAACACACTTGGGTTTGGTTGTAATGTCAGTTCTTCTTCAAAACACTGGGCCTTGCGTCCAGGACCTGGAAATAGCAACAGCCTGATTTATTCGTAGATTTCTTCCTTATCTGAAATGTTGATTTACTTGGGCAAAATAGAGATAGGAAGCTGCCTCTTTGCTGTGTAAGGGAAGGGCAATTAGAATATTAAAATGCTGACTCCATACTTTACTTTTGGCTTCATTAATGCCAAAAGGAAATCCAACCTGGCTGGCATTCATGAGGTGGCTGCCTGTGTGTCAGAGCAGGTACGAAGGAAACTTCAGCCCTCGGCCTAGCAAATGACTAAGAATTGGCTCTTTCCTTCTGTGTACAGTGTTTCTTTTCTAATATCTATACCCCAACACAATAAGCACATACAAGAGATAACACAGAGTGTGCTTAGAAAACATTTGAATGGGTCGCTACTAAAAGGGTCCATTTGTTCTTTCCCGTCCACATGGTAACATGAAGGAACCACTCGGCGGACCTCCACCAAAGCTGCTGATGTATGTTCTAGATACACTTTTCTGCACCACCTTTCAATGCAGCCACAGACCACCAAAAATACCTAAATGTGAACTCTGTACCAAAACTGGGGCTGCAAAAAAGGGCTGGCTAAAAAGACTTAGTGGGCAGGAAATGTCCCACAGGCTCAGGAAGGAGCTGCTGCCTCCACCACAGTGAAGCCCAATAGGAGTGTCCTCAGCAGACACCGCAGGCCAGGCCCCAAGCCACTGTGAAATTCGGAGAGCAGACCATAGGCTCCCCCTGTGTGCGTTTTCTTCCTTTCTTTCTCACCACATATTTTGAAAG